TAGAATGAAATAGAATGAAATGGAATAGTATAAAATGAAGTAGTATAAAATGAAGTAGAATAGAATGAAATAGAATGAAATGGAATAGTATAAAATGAAGTAGTATAAAATGAAGTAGAATAGAATGAAATAGAATGAAATGGAATAGTATAAAATGAAGTAGTATAAAATGAAGTAGAATAGAATGAAATAGAATGAAATGGAATAGTATAAAATGAAGTAGTATAAAATGAAGTAGAATAGAATGAAATAGAATGAAATGGAATAGTATAAAATGAAGTAGTATAAAATGAAGTAGAATAGAATGAAATAGAATGAAATGGAATAGTATAAAATGAAGTAGTATAAAATGAAGTAGAATAGAATGAAATAGAATGAAATGGAATAGTATAAAATGAAGTAGTATAAAATGAAGTAGAATAGAATGAAATAGAATGAAATGGAATAGTATAAAATGAAGTAGTATAAAATGAAGTAGAATAGAATGAAATAGAATGAAATGGAATAGTATAAAATGAAGTAGTATAAAATGAAGTAGAATAGAATGAAATAGAATGAAATGGAATAGTATAAAATGAAGTAGTATAAAATGAAGTAGACTAGATAGAAGGATAGAAAATAATTACCAGGCATTACTTCTCTGGATAAATGCAGTATAATAATAGCTAGAATTGAATAGATATCATGCTAGTACTAGAATAAAATATTAGGGAGTGCAATTTCTGATAGATGTAGAATGAAACCGATTACACCAAAAATTGCAATTGAATAAAATTTAGAAAAAAATAAAATGGAATACAATGTTATAAGTGTGAGTAGAACAGAATAGAATTATAAGGATTGAAATAGGATGAAATAGAATAGAATGAAATACAGTGGGATAGAATGATATAGAATAGATTGAAATACAGTGGGATAGAATGATATAGAATAGATTGAAATAGAATAGAATAAAATGGAATGTTGTAGAATGAAATGGAAAACAATGAAATAGAATAGAATTGAATGAAATAGAATGGAATAGAATGAAATAGAAAACAATGAAATAGAATAGAATGAACTAGAGTGGGATAGAATGATATAGAATAGATTGGAATAGAATGGAATAAAATGACATGATATATGAATGGAATGAAGTATAATTTAATGAGATGGAATAAGTAGAATAGAATGGAATAGAATAGTGTAAAGTGAAGTAGAATAGAAAAGAATGGAATAGAATAGAATAAAAGCGGACCTAAAATAAATAAAATAGAGAGTGGATTAGAATGAAATAGAACGCAATGGAATCAACCTTGTACCCAGGTTCTTTCCACTACACAAGGTTGCAATGGAATAGACTGCCATAGAATAGATCGAAATAGAATGGAATAAAATGACACGAATATGAATGGAATGAAGTAGAATATAATGAGATGGAATATAATTGAATGAAGTAGAATAGAATGAAGTAGAATGAAATGGAATAGTATAAAATGAAGTAGTATAAAATGAAGTAGACTAGAATGAAATAGAATGAAATGGAATAGTATAAAATGAAGTAGTATAAAATGAAGTAGAATAGAATGAAATAGAATGAAATGGAATAGTATAAAATGAAGTAGTATAAAATGAAGTAGAATAGAATGAAATAGAATGAAATGGAATAGTATAAAATGAAGTAGTATAAAATGAAGTAGAATAGAATGAAATAGAATGAAATGGAATAGTATAAAATGAAGTAGTATAAAATGAAGTAGAATAGAATGAAATAGAATGAAATGGAATAGTATAAAATGAAGTAGTATAAAATGAAGTAGAATAGAATGAAATAGAATGAAATGGAATAGTATAAAATGAAGTAGTATAAAATGAAGTAGAATAGAATGAAATAGAATGAAATGGAATAGTATAAAATGAAGTAGTATAAAATGAAGTAGAATAGAATGAAATAGAATGAAATGGAATAGTATAAAATGAAGTAGTATAAAATGAAGTAGACTAGAATGAAATAGAATGAAACGGAATAGCATAAAATGAAGTAGTATAAAATGAAGTAGAATAGAATGAAATAGAATGAAATGGAATAGTATAAAATGAAGTAGTATAAAATGAAGTAGAATAGAATAGGAAAGAATGGAATGAAAGAGACTAAAAGAAAGTGGACTAATTAAACTGAATAGTATGATTTTGAAAAGAATAAAAAGAAGGGATGAGACTAGTCTAGTCAAAATAATATCTTCAGAATTGTAGAATAACATAATTTGATAAAACTGCAAGTGGCAAACTCCAAATCTCATCGAGGTTTATTCTACAGTTAAGTTTTCGACAGCTAAAGTAAAAGTAGGTTATTCATACACAAATTGTGGAACATCTAACAGTTGACCTCTTTGAAATTTGCCGTTCATGATCTGCCGGAAACATCAATCTCAAGGTCTTTAATGCTACATAATGGTGGCATAATTCCATGTTTCTTTTTGTTTTATTTTAGTCCGCTAGCGTCATTGTTGGTGAACATGAGTCACTCGAATCAATTGTTCATTGACCACTTTATCCATGTTGTTGACCAACTCGAGGTACAGTACTTTTTTAACTATAGCATGAAAATAATAGTGGTTCAGACCTGGCCTAGCTGGCTGAAATTTTTAGAGCATTCTATAGCGCTAACAGGCACAGTTTTTTATTAGGAAGAATATTAGTGAACTTGGCAGGAAACTTTGACCCAAAACTTAGGATCAAACAAAACTATTATTTCTTGCTATGCTTTTAACTACTGTTTAGAAGTAACGGGAAAAGATATTTGAATATCGGCTGTAAATTCCATGCACGCAGTAAATGACAAGCTCGTCTTGGATAGAACTTGCTTCCATTGTTCCAATCAGCCTTGGTTCATAGTGACTTGGTTCGATTGTCTCATAGACTCATAGAGTCATAGTGATAGACTAAGTGTAAACCATCTTTAAGAGAGCATTCTATTTCTAAGCCCGAATCAGGTTCTTGTATATTTTAGGTGCTTTAAAGGGGCCCTACAGTCATTTTTTAGTCGAAAAGCCACCTTAAGTATTGTTTACATTTTTTTGTTATTGTCGCTACTTGACATGCGCACCACGGCATGCATGCGTCTTCCGGTGTGTGGAAGTACTCATACTCATGGATACTGCATGTAAGATACAGCCAAACGAATCTCCGTGGAGTCCCCTACTTAAGGTGGCTTTTCGACTAAAAAATTACTGCAGGGCCCCTTTAATGCTTACATTTTGGATTGTTTGGTTTCTAATTTCGAGGCTGTCCATATTTATTCATATTACAGTACATAACTCTACGGCTGAACACATGCGCTTGCGCCAACTCTTTCATAATGCATTGCTGGAAGTTTCTTCCAACTGTTTTCACCGAGTACCAGGTATTCTGCTGTCTTGAGATTCGCACTGGACAGACAAACTCCTCCCATAACAACAATCGTATCACCCATAATTGCTGCAGCACATCTTGATCTAAAATAGTGGAATACAGAAATAGTCGAAAATTTAGTAATTAAACAGAACCACCTAGGATGGCAAATGGATATCTTAAAAGTCTTAATGTAGGACTGAAATTTGTAATTTAAACGAGATAAAAGGCAATATTCCACTGATATATATAGTGCATCCAAAAGCATGCTTTTAGTAATAATGCAACAGGTAGTTTAATGTCAAATAAAGAGGGTTTGACTAAATGATAATGACCAGACTTAACGATTTATCAAATCGAACTTCACCTTTTTTCCAACATGTTCGGCAACTTGCGGCACTGTTGATTTGTGATATTGTACATCAAAACGCCATTTAGACTTTCACTCTTTAAGAATCGACATGCACGTGAATCTACATAATAAGTTCTCCTCCCTCCGAAAATAACAAGGTTGTCTTTGTACACAACAACGGCCATGTCTGCAACATTGTAGGGCAAGGGTGCTAGCTTTTTGAAATCATTCTTCGTTGGATTGTAAAGTAAGACATCACACGTCGTAACTGGACTTTCGTTTGTGGTACCACCAACAAGGACCACAGCGTTTTCATTGATACAAGCAACTCCATAGGCGGACATCTTTTTGTTGTCGTTGTAAGGAACAATAACTGTGGTTTTAAATGGAGGTTTAAGAGATGCAGCCGATACCGATTCACCGAAAGTCAGTATTTTATCATCACAGAGAACCCCTTTGCCACATTCTGTACCAGGTAATTGTGTGGGTAAGGTACTGGCAAATCTATCCTTGGCAATATCCAGACATCCAACTCGGTTCGTGTCTGTTCCACCACAAATCAACATCTTGTTGTCATAAACGAATGGAGCTGCGTCAGTATGATTGAAAAACAAAGTGTCTCCATACAAAGTCCATTTCTGAGTGGACCAGTCGAAGACTTCATATGATTTGTTGCTTCCTCCAGCTACAATAATCTGTGCTGCTTTCGGTTGTCTTATTTCACTTGTTATTTGTGTAGTTAAAGTATCGTGTTCTGTCTTCTTTGCGTCCGATTTTAATTCATTTGCTTGTACTGCTGAGTCGTCGCGTTGTTGTTTTCCCGTTGCACCGGGTTGATGCTTCGAGTTGTCGCTTTGTCGTCTTCGCGTTGCATGGGGCTGTCTTGATTCTTTTGCCATTCGTTGGTTTTCTTCGCCTTGTCGACGTTGTTCTCCTTGAATTTCTCGCAAAATCTTCTTAACTTCAGCCAAGTCTCGTTTATTCTCATCTAATTCCCTTCGCAAGACACAATTGTGTTTTCCATATTTTCTTTGCTTCATCGCTTTGTGACAATCTTCACAAGTTACCGATCGAAATTCACAGCGGGCTTACTGATGGCTGACGAGATCTTTCCTGTTGACAGTCTCTTCACATCCATCGTGCACACATTGGGCAGGAGCAAAACCGCATTCCTCGTGATGCGACAACAACGTTTCATATCGTACTGCGCTCGAACATCCACGACTGGCGTACATGCATTTCAGCGATTGAAACTGCTCGAGTATATTCGCCACGGTTCTCGAGATAGGACGAAGTGTTTCAGGAGTAAGTTCGTCTTGGCAAACCGGACAGGTTTGGGATCGCGTTAAATGCTTTTTTATGCACTTCTTGCAAAAGTAGTGTTCGTTCCTGACACATTGAACGGGGTCTTGCAGCACTTCCAAGCATATATTGCAAGTCAAGTGGTGAGAGCCTGCTGTATGAGTATTAGTTTTAGTGGAGCAAGTTGCCATTTCGCCTTCCTTGCCAGCAAGCTTCTACACAATAGCCCAACAAACGTCTTTCTGCTGTCGTTATGCTGATACCTGCATGCGGTCTATTTTCTCATGCGAAATTGATCGGAAAACACGGGTGGCTACAAATGTGGTTAGCGCGCTAGCTGTCTCTTATATCTGAATTAGGTCTGCCTCCCCTAACTCAGAGGCCTACAGTAGCCTAGGACATGAGATCAGATTTACTTAGGTTGGTTAACAGCAATGCCACCGAGAGTTTGCCCTCATAATTGTAAAACGGGAGATCCACGATCATAAATTGCAGCCACAAACGGAGAGTTAAGATGGGCTAGCTCATCTTAACTGAACATGCATAGAATGTACATGCTGACGTGTTCTGAATATTAATGAGGAAAACTGCTAATTTTTTTCAAGAGTTGGTCGGCAAAGTTTTTGCTTTGTTGATAGAATTTCGGGATTAAGAAAAGGTTAAAGGGCCAAGAAAAATTTTCGGTGACTCAAGCATAATGAAGAACAATTTAAACTTACAATTTGAGCCTTATTTCGCCACAGATAAGTCGAAGAAATAAAGTAAAACAAAAAGCGCGGGAAATTCTTGACTGAGCCCACAATGTCATGCAATGAATACTCAGCGACATGATCATTTTTCTGTGCAATTTCCGGTCGCGAGCGATGTTTTACAACGGAGCTAGGATTTCTCGGTTAAAGCAATCTTGTATGAAGATATTTTAGGGGCCTCTGTCAATTTCGGGGCCCTGGGGGCAAACTTTCTCCCCCCCTTCCCGCCAGTCTGACCCTGGGAAGTAGGTTGTGGTTGCATACATGCTGAGATACACAATAAATCGCTCCATTGCGAAGTCAGAAGCACTTTAAACACATTTTTAAGCGTACATATCTTACGACCATTTTTTTTAGGATTGGAATGACAACCGTATTCGACCAGTGGTAATACTAAGTTATAGAAGAAACAGGGGTCTGGCCGTCTGAGGATCTTTCCACAGAATATTTTTTACATTTTCGAAGCTCCAGTTCTTGTAGAACTTCCAACCTTTTTTCTATCGTTCAAAGCAAAAATGACCAAATACAAGATTATCACATTTTCCCACCTTTAACTTTGTGCTTAATTTATGCTATTCAATTTAATTTTTGTTTAACTTACTGTCTTAACTCTTTGTTTTTCGATGCGACTCGGAATTATATTCTCTATTCGTGTCACAAATGATAATTTCTCAAGGAATACAGGGTGTATAAAAAAAAGGTAATCGAACTTCAGCGCGCTATTATACGTGAATTACTTGGCGTATGAACAATTGGTTTTCATATTCGGAAAGTGCATGTCATATTATACACTACACACGTCGCCATGTTCAACAACAATCTTTTATCATGATCACGTGCTTATCATAAATTAACATAATTATGACATCTCCCTTTCTTACTAAAGCCACATATTGTTCAACAGCTAATTAGCTTCAATTGTTCAGTAAAGGTCACACTTCATAACACCGAGCATCTTGCAAGAACTGCAATACTCCAAATAACACAACAACAATATTAATGTTTATAAATGTAAACAGCTTAAGATAGTCATTCCATAACATAGTCATTCCTGAGTCGTTCAAGCAGTCTAACTGCGCGGTTGCTGGTGCGCCTTACAGGTTGTGGGTCAACAACGTTATTTGGTCTAGGCTCAGGCATAATTTCTTCATCGTAGTCTGGTCCTAAATTGTTAGGTGGAGGCTCACTAGTGGGTAATAAATGTCTGCGATTACGACGATACACTCCACCTTGTGGTGTGGTTACTATGAAGGATCTAGGTGCTTTATGCGTACCTGTTATAACTGCTGGCCCTTTCCTCTTCGAATTCGGGCAGACTGATACATCTTTACAGGTCGCAATGGCTTTGCATTTCTGTCGAAGTACTCTTTTTGCTTCTCGGCACGTTGCTCAAGTTTTTCACGAACATTTTCTTGAACTTTGGGCTGAAGGAGGGCCGTAGTCGTAGGCAACTTCGACTTTAGCATGCGACTCATTAATAACTGAGCTGGCGATTCTTGCATTCCTGTAAATGGAGTATTCCTGTACTCCAGGAGGGCGATGTAGGGATCATTTCCTTCATAATCAGCTTTACGAAGGAGATTCTTGATGGTTTGAATTGTACGCTCACTCATGCCATTTGACTGGGGGTAATGAGGACTGGACGTTGAAATTTTGAATCCCCATTCTTGTGCAAACTGTAAACATTCCTTACTTGAAAAGGGCATATTATCTGCGACAACTTCATCCGGGATGCCGTGTCGGGCAAATACTGATTTCATACTGGTAATGACAGCTTGATTTGATTTGTCTTTAAGGAGAGAAATTTCTGGAAATTTCGAGTAATAGTCCACAATTACTAAGTAGGACTTGGACTTATATTCAAAAATGTCTGTTCCCAATTTTTGCCATGCTCTGGCAGGCACTGTGTGTGGCTTTAGTGGCTCTTTCTGATTGCTTCTTTGGTGCTTCAGGCAAGTTGAACATTTCGCTACTAATCTTTCAATGTCCGCTGACATTCCGGGCCAATAGACTACTGCTCTAGCCCTCGATTTACATTTTTCCATACCCAGGTGGCTCTCATGAATTCGACGAAGAATGTCTGGTCTCAGCTTCTCTGGAATAATTAACTTCTGCCCAAAAAACAACAACCCATTGGCTTCATAGATTTCGTCTTGAAATTTCCAGTAGTGACCAACAGCCGATGGACTATTCACTCGACTACTAGGCCATCCGTCTTTGATGAATTGGATTAACTGCTGCAGGACTTCATCTTCTACTGTTGCTGATTTCAATTCTTCAAGCTTCTCAACTGTCATTGGGAGGTTTTCAACGAGGCTGTGGATCATCTTCGTTACATCATCATTCATTTCATCAGGAACAGGGCCATCAGGAAGAAATGCTCGTGAAAGTGCATCTGCAACATACATATATTTGCCTGGAAGGTAGTTGATGGTGACATCATACTTTTGTAGTCGGAGCAACAATCGCTGGAGCCTGGGGGAGGCTTGTACCAAGGGTTTTCTGGAGATGGAAACAAGGGGCTTGTGATCAGAATCTATATCAATTGGTTTACCATAAACATAACAGTGAAATTTTTCACATCCGAAGACAACTGCGGTTAACTCCTTTTCAATTTGCGCATAGTTCTCCTCAGCAGAGCTCAGTGACCGGGATGCATATGCAACGGGATGTCCGTCTTGTAGAAGGCAAGCTCCAAGGCCACCTTTCGAAGCATCAACTTGCAACTTGACTGGCTTTGCTGAGTCAAAAAATTTCAGGACAGGCTGACTTGAGAGGATCTGTTTCAGTTGCTCTACTGCACCAGTGTGTTCATGGGACCAGTCCCAAACTGAATCTTTCTTTAACAACTGCCGTAGAGGGTCAGTAATACTCGATTGACCTGGAATAAACTTCGAGAAAAAATTGACCATTCCAAGGAACCTTCGCAATTCTTCCTTTGACTTAGGTAAGGGCATGTCCAGGATTGCACGAACTTTCTCGCTATCTGGCTTCAAACCCGATTCAGATACAATGTTACCCATGTACTTCACTTCTTTGACTTTGTACTGAAGCTTTTCTGGATTGAATTTAACATTTTCTGCTTTTGCTCTTTCCAACAGCTTTGCCATAATTTCATCATGCTCTTTTTCATCCCGCGCTGCCACAATTATGTCATCAAATATCACCTCGACACCATCAATATCACCAAACAATGCTTCATTCTTCTTCTGAAACACTTCAGGGGCTGAACACACACCAAATGGTAATCTCGTGAAGCGGAAGCGACCAAAGGGTGTATTGAAGGTGCAGAGATGGGAACTTTCTTCATCTAGGTGGATCTGCCGAAACCCATCTTTTTCATCCACTATGGAAAATAAGTTCTTACCACTAAGGCGAGTGGCAATATCCTCTGCTGTGTGAATTCTATGATGCTCCCGTTGAATAGCCTTATTCAGATCACGGGGATCCAAACATAACCGCAGAGACCCATCACGTTTCTCGACTATGACAAGACTGTTAACCCATGCGAAAGTTTCTATTTTAACTTTCCCAGTATGCTGTAGGGAACCTTTCGTGGTGGGTGGATGACAGGCTTGACAGTCTTGTCAACAACAATATGATATTCTGCGTCCATGGAGCCAAGCCCTTCAAACACCTCTGGGTAATCATGAATAATGTGTTCTTTAGTGGAGGGTGATGGGGGCACTTCATTAACTTTCTTGACCAGGTTTAATTTCTCACATGCCTGCAGACCTAGTATTGGGGTTGACTGGACAGTAACAACAAAGAATGGTAGCATTTCAGACTGACCATTGACGACACATCTCAGGAAAACTTTCCCCTCCGGTTTGACTTTAAAATTCCCATATGAGGTTAAAACCACATCAGTTTTCTGCAGGGATGTACTAATCTTTAGACTTGAATACACATTAAATGGCAACACATTGGCTTCAGCTCCAGTGTCAAGTTTAAATCGAACTTGTGTTCCATTTATACCCACACTCACAAACCATGCAGAACTTGTTGTGGGGCTAGTTATGGTTCCAATAAATAAACTATTTAACTCGAGTGTTGGGTCATTTCTAGTGTTAGCTTCCCCAGTATTTTCTGACACTTCATCAACAGAAGAATTTCTTGACATTTGACACATTCGTGCGAAGTGTTTTTTTCTTTTACATTTGTGGCAAGGTTTTCCAAATGCAGGGCAAGATCTTACTGCATGCTTAGTTCCACATCTATTACAATCAAATAGCGACTCACCTCGAGTGGGTTTCTTTACGACGTGAACTTCCGGTTCACTTGGATCAACATTTTGCTTCCGAAGCTCTCTGAGCTGTTTCGCACTTTCTTCCGCCGCTCGGCACAAACTTGCAGCTTTTTCAAGAGTGAGTTCAGACGATTCACGAAGCAATCGTTCTTTTAATCGAATATCACTCACCCCAAATACTATACGATCTCGAATCATGCTGTCCGTTTGATCACCAAATTCACATGACTTAGCTCGTGTTTTCAACTCCGTTATAAATTGGTCGATTGTTTCACCTTCTTGTTGTTTGCATTCCCAGAATTTATATCGTTCAAATACAGTATTCTTTCGAGGATTTACATAATCTTCAAATTTCTTCTTCAACACGCTCAACTTATCACGATCCTCGCCCTCGCCAAACGTAAACGTGTTGTAGATTTCGAGGGCTTCATCACCGATGAGATGAAGTAAAATTGCACACCGGACTTTTTCCGTTTCTTTGACTTTCCCTGACGCGGTCAAAAACAACTCGAATCGCTGAATCCATCGCCTCCAGTTCTCTCGCAAGTTTCCCGTCAAATTCAATGCACTCGGGGGCTTAAACGTTTCCATTTTAGGGTGTTTTTTTATTTTTACTCCTGACACCATGTCATGTTATACACTACACACGTCGCCATGTTCAACAACAATCTTTAATCATGATCACGTGCTTATCATAAATTAACATAATTATGACAGAAAGATCAGGCTTTTAGCTATTGAATAACATGCTTTTCATGCCAAGTGGAGAAAATCGCATATTTTCACTTCGGTGCCTAATTAAAACAATGCATAACAAAAGAAAAAGCAATTAATCACGAACGTGTCGTAGCTTAGCTAAGATGTATTCCTACTTGAATAATAATTATGAATATGTGTGCAGTTTAATGAAGTGAAATTCATCAACTTAAGTCCTAAAGGGGGTTTATTTTCAATGGTTTTAGACCCAACTCTCAACGGTGAAAATATGCAATTCTGACTAACATTTTTTATCGGATTCGTATTTGCTCATTTTTTATCCATTTGGCATGAAGAAGATATCACTCAACAGCTAAAAGCATGATCTTTCTGAATGTAAAAAATCTCCTTCATACGCGGAGTAATTCAGATATAACAGCGCGCTGAAGTTCGATTACGTACTGTTTAATAAACGAGCAGGAGTATTTTATTAGGTTTAAAGACACGAGCGCACAGCGCGAGTGGCTTTAGACCTAATAAAACACGACCTGCGAGTTTATTAAACGGCTTCAAACACGACTATACAAATTCAATAGATATACCGCCTTATTAGTATTCTTTATATAAAAAATACTAATGAGGACACGACAACAATAGATACT